TGCACAGGTGATGTCACCACTCTAAACAGGCCAGCTTCTCACTTCCGCTTCTCAGTTTCTGCGCTGCAAGCTCCGTAAAATTCAGGGTAGCGCTCGGTTAGATGCCAGCGCTCGCATAGGATCGGCCACGCAGCATCACCAAGTGTGTGCACTAGCACGCGGTTTCTCTTAGGCAGCTCGTGCAAAAGAAGCTGGGCGCTAACCTCTTGAAGATAAAACTCGAGGGTTTTCACTCGAGCCCATCGGCCCCTCCATGCAATCCAAGGAACATCTTCGGTGCGGCCATAGAGAAAAGTCGCCCCGCTGCCGCGCAGCGAGCCCGGAGTTGCTCCGCGCTGAGCTTGTCGGTGGGGTATACCTAGGTGGGCCATGACGGCGTCCCACTGTTTTCTGAAAAGGCTGATGGAACCATTGTACAATCGGCAGTGCAAAGGGAAGTCGCCAAAGATCTGCTCTGCCAAATGGATAATCTGAGCATCATCTATTCGGCCGTGCTGACGTCTAGCAAATCTAGCTGTCTTTGGATTCTGCAGATGAATATAGAGGCAGGTCATATCAAAGCAAACATCTTTGGGAAAAACAAGATCTTTTCTTGTGAGGGCGATCATCTCGCTCGGATGAAGCATTGCTGCAAAACCCAGCAGTACGATGCCCACCCAAACATGCCAGCCCCAAAATGTTGCAACTGTGACTGCAGCTCGAATAGCTATCCCTGGAAGGACAGCCCTGCACTGACCTGGTTCATGGATCTGCCACTTTCGGTCGATTTGCCAGGCTAAGGTCAAAGACGATTTGCACTGAGGAAATTGCTCGGCCACCCCTGTAATTGCATAAACGAATAAGTACCTAGGTAAGCCCCTTTCAAAGAGTTGCACACCGTAGGCCCTCAGAGCCCATCCAACAGCCAAAGGGTCTTGCACTAGTCTATCGAAATCTAATCCGCAAGTATCTTTCACCCATTCAGCAAAAGCTTGCACGCACTGCCGCATGCGAGAGGCTGTCTCAGGAGCAAAACCCACTGTCAAATCCAAAGCCCCTCGAGGATGCAAAACTCGTGGCTTTGCGCGTGGACCCGAAGGCCCTGGATTCAATTCTATGTCACCCGCTAGGATTAACAAAATAAAACGGATCCACCTTCCTGGAACACGGGCCACTCTGGAAGAATTCACTACTATGTCGAACGCTCTAGTGTCTCCATCTGCCAGTTGAGCAAGCCAGGCCGGCTTGTCCTTCGTCGGGGGGGCCAAAGGGCGGCCTCTGGAGGGGTCGTCAGCTTTGTTGGAAGCTGAATAGCAATGCAAACCACCCGGGTACAGATTACCTCCAATGATATACGCAATGCTACCTTGCAGAACCCTGCTAATTGAAAATGAACTAGAGCGGCCCTTGGCACTGGCCCCCAAAGTCACTCTGGAATCAAGCAATCCAACAAATCGGGAATCTCTCGAATATTTGGCCATGTGTTTAATCCAGGACTTATAAGTGCGTGTCTCGTTTACATTGATATGGCCGGGTTTCACAAAATTGAATCTAAAAACCTCACGAAATGGCAAAGACTCACATATTTCGCCTATCCATTCAGGGTCCTCGTACCAGGGACGCGACGGGTATGGAGGCTCAGGCAAAGGCACAGCTGAAATCTCATCTAGCATAAGGCCGACTTCAAGTGCAGAGGATGCCACGGCGCTAGCCGGCACAGGGGAAACGCCCGATCGAGCTGCTTCTTTGCTGCCCACTGCCATCGCTTGCACCAGCCTGACAGGATAGACAGCTGAGAAGTCAGAAACCCGTTCTCCGGGTTGCGGCATGGTTTCATACACAGATTCAATACCTGGTCTACACCTTTCGTTGAAATCCTTGATGCTCGCCTCTGTGAAAGTACCTTCGACTACAAAGTGATTTCCTTTATAGGGACACGAACAGGAGCTCTGCAATGGCACTAGCCATGGCTTGTTGTGAAGCCACTTGGAAGGCTTGTGAAATCCACTACCAAAACAGCAAAATGCGAAATGAGCGATTACGCAGCCCAAACGAATCAAGGTTTGAAACACGTTCAGCAAAAACAAGCAGCTGTTTCGAGGCTGCTCAATACTGACAAAGGAACCATACTTCAGTGCCAAAATCAGTAATATGCCCACCCGCTGAGCTATCTTATTGTGATAGGCTGTGTAGGGGTCTGAGGGATCAAAGCCGAACGGGATTTCCTTAGACCTTACTCGGGGCCGTCTCAAAGTGCCGAAAGACGGGCAAGGCACCCCAGCGTGCCAGTCTCTGACGACACCTCTACACGCCAATGCTG